CAGGGCCTCCCTGAGGATTTCGTCTTCATCCTCGTCGATAGGAGCACCAGGACTCGGAGGATCGGCGGGGCGGGTTGAGGTGCTCGCGGAAGGTTGGGTAATGGTGGTGGTACGGCTTGTCGACATTGTTGTGGACTTAGAAGATTTTGGAAAGTTAGGCCCTCAACGGCGAAACTCTGGACCTTTTATACGGCAAAACTGCGCACGGACCAGCGAAAATTTTCCTTCGGATTGTGTTTGGTTTACGGTGAACCGAAATTTTCACTGATGACTAACGCCAATTCCCGGTACCAACGGCTTTTGAAAATTTCCCTGCTGACTGATGGGCCAAACTCCGATGCTGACGGCCTTTAAAAATTTTTCTTTGGTGACTAACCAACTCCCGGTATTAATGGCTTTTGAGGGCTCAAGCCTAAATTCAATCTAAGTTGTTCTTTACTATTACAACTGAGGTATTCATTACTCTACAGATTATGAGACTCGGCTCCCAACGAGCTAAATAGATAAAACCAGAATTCTACTATGTCTTCATCGACCGGAAACCAAACAGCAACCCTTCCCACTTTCCCGGAATCGTCTCAGCTGTCCGGACAGGATACCTGGAAGGCGTTCAAAGATAGAGTCGAGCTGAATGTTGAGTTTAGGGGCCTCAAGGGTTACCTTCATGGCACCATCCCTAAACCAAGTCCAGCAACCTATGTCTATACGTCCATTACTCCCTCGTTCCCCAGTAGTCTGCATCCATCCCCCGAAGAATGGAACCAGCGCGAGCGCTTGGTCGCCGCAATGATTTATCTTAATTGCACTGATCCCATTGGGGTTGGTATCGACCGAGATAACCTTGCACATGTCACCTATGCATTCCTAATCAACAAATACGAGAGTCGTGATGAAGAACTGATTCTTCTCGCCGACACTGCCCTCCGTGAACAGAAATATGACCCCACGACAACTACGATGGAAGACCACGAAAAGAAGATGAACAATCTCCTTAAGAGGCTCCGTAATTTGGGTGGCGCCGTAGATGACTTCCAGTATCGCCTCATCGTCATTAAATCCATGCCGAAAGAGTGGAAGGAGAACGTGTTGAATGTTCCTGGTCACACAAGCTCTGAGGCCTTTACCTATCTCAAGCACCTCTATATCAACAAGGTGGAACCACTTGATGATGAGGACGAGCGCATCCAAAAGAAAGTTGCGGCGCTGGTTGCCCAACACATTGCAGCACACCCCGTCATCGCGAGCACTGTACAACGCCGAAACCGACCAGTCTGCACTAACCCTTCCTGCCCTAAGAAGCTTGGCCACTCCATCGAGAACTGTTGGGCGAAAGGGGGTGGTGGAGAAGGCAATGCCCCAAAGAGCTGGAAGGACAAGTACGAGAACCGCACCGCCGCATCCAGCTCAACCACTGCTTCTAGCGCGACAATTCTGACCGATCCAGATCCTGCCGACCTCTACATTCACACCAATCATGTTAATGTTTCCGCTAAGCCGGGTACGTCCGTCCATCCAGCCTTCATGACACTATCCCCTGATGTCTCCATTAGACCCGAAAGAACTACCGTTCTAAATTGCGAGAGTCAGAGAAGGGAGAGTGTTAGTGTCAGCAATAACGTACCTATTTATTCCCTTGTATCAAATCCTATCGAGTGCACCGTTTGCAACGGTAATATACCACTCTATTCCCCACCCGAACCAATCGAACCAGAGATATTTCTCGATTCGGCAGCGTCAGAACATTGCTGGGTAAAAAGGTCGGATTTCACTCGTTACGAGATTGTTAGTGGGCAAAGTGGAAACAGCGCAATAGCGGGTGACTCTGGCAAGTTCCACATACCTGGAATTGGCGATGTGAACGTCCCAACGCTTGTAGATGGTCTAGAATGCAATGTGAAGCTCAAAGGAGTGAAACACACCCCGGAATTCGCACACAACCTAATCTCAATATCAACGCTCGATAGAGATGGATATAATGGCGAATGGGGGGAGCGGAAACTCACCGTGAGGACATCCTCTGGTAAAGTGGTCATGGTTGGGGTACAAGTTGGAAACTCAAAAATGTACCGCGTTGACCGGAAAATCTACGCGAACTCAGCCAGGTCTCATGAAAAACCAACCGATATACATACCTGGCACCGTCGCTTTGGTCACGTTGGAGTCGCAAGAATCCTGAGGATGGCACATCGAAAGTTAGTGGACGGTTTGCAAGTAACGTCAAAAGAGACACGAGGAATGTGCGAACCTTGTCTATATGGCAAAGCAACAAGACGCCCGTTTGACGAGAAACTCACGCATGAGACCAAAGTACTTGAACGAGTGCATATCGACCTATGGGGACCTTCCAGAACTCAGAGTCGAGGCGGAGCCAACTATATGATGCTCTGTTCTGACGGTGCATCCTCTATCCGAGTCCCATACTTCATCTCCAACAAATGGGCAGAGACTACACTCAAACACTTTCATGAGTTTCGCATCATGGCAGAGAACCAAACCGGGGAACACCTTCGAATCATTCGCATAGACGGCGGAGGTGAACTTGACAACAATCGTATGCAGTCCTACTGCAAAGAGCACGGTATCATTGTTGAGAAGATACCCCCCTACTCTTCCGCAGCTAATGGTATGGCGGAACGCGCAAATAGAACTGTGATCGAGGGTACAAGAACCCTTCTCGAAGACTCTGGATTGCCACCATCATTCTGGGCAGAAGCAGCAAGTACTTTCATATATGTTGACAGTTTCGTCCCTACTGCTCGTTCACCTGACGCCGTCCCCATGGAACGTTGGACCAAGAAGCGCCAGGACGTATCCCACTTGCGGCCTTTCGGATGTGAAGCCTGGGCAACACTGCCAGAAACCAGGAAAAATGGGAAGCTTGCCCGTCAGGCAATTAAAGGTTGTTTACTTGGATATATGGGCCGCCGCGGATACCGAATTTGGGTGCCAGAGTGGAAGACTATCATTGAGTCAAGGGATGTCAAATTCGAGGAAGGGGTAGCTAAAAGAGCTCAGTCTGATGACGAGATCTCCTTCGGTTCGAGCGGTGATGCCGAGGACTTTAAATCCGGGGCGCCACACAAATCAGATTTAGCGCCCTCACCATCAACTCCTCCCTCTCCCTCTCCACCGCTGTCTCCCCTCACACCTATACCTCGGACTCCCTTCCTCAGTCTCCTCCTTCAGACCCCATACCCACTCCTGAACCTCCAGCTCCCGCGTTAACACGTGTCTTGCGCGAGCGAACTGGTGGCTCAATGAATATAGACCAACTTGTTCGTAAGGAAATGGGATGGAAGCGACCCGATACCGCGTTTGCGCTCGTTGCCCACGAACCATGGGCTTTTGCATCAACCCATGACGAGAGGTGGACACCAAGGAACTTCAAAGAGGCAAAACTCCGCTGGGACCTCTGGGGTCCACCTGCTCAGGCCGAATACGATGCGTTAATGGAGAAAGGAGTATGGGAGCTGGTGCCGCTACCTCGGGGGGCAAACCTCATGGATGCGATGTGGATATTCACGTCCAAGTGGGGATCACAAGGTGAATCATTGAAGAGAAAGGCGAGATATGTAGCAAAAGGGTATACACAGGTTTATGGCATGGACTACGACGAGACATTCGGCGCTGTGGCACGAATGGAATCTTTCCGAATTGTTCTAGCCATCATCGTGGTTCTCGGCCTCTCACTTTTCCAAGTGGACTTCAAGTCTGCTTTCCTTAATAGTCCAATAAAACACGATGTATATATGAAACAACCGGAGGGATTTGTCAAACCTGGCACCGAACACCTCGTCTGCAAGCTAAAGAAGTCGATATACGGCACGATGCAAGGTAGCCACGACTGGCAAGAGACACTAGCGGCGGGATACAAAGAAGACGGTTACACCTCGTCCCAAGCAGACCCGTGTGTGCGCTGATACAACCCAAAATAATCTGAACTCGAAATGTCAAAACTTCGGCAGTTCATGCAGAGGTTCAGTGGTATATCTACAAGTCTACAGTACATTGTGGTTTGATACAGATTGCACAGATGTTCACTGAAGATGATTCAAATAAGATTCTCGGCAGTATAACACAATTGTACTCACTCAGACCACTAAAACCCATTCTTTATGTTGAGTGTACATTGCTTAAAGCATATTACATGTATATCAAAGACTAATTGTACCAAGCAAGTAAGACAGAAGTAGAGACTAGTAATTATGGGCTGACATACTGCATATGCTCGGATTTCCAAAGCAATAGCTAAAGCAGCTCAAAAGCATAATAGACTCGGAATGTATGACAGATATCTGATGCAACCAGGCACAAGGGAACAATAGCTAAAGCAGCTCATGCCTGACAGATATCTGATGCAACCAGGCACAGTGGCACAATAGCTAAAGAAACTCAACCACATGTTTATTATGATTGGTACCTGATGTTCATGTGAGTCTCGGAGTTTATCCGGGAGTCAGATGGTTCAATAAAATATGCACATGGTTACCTCGGAACAAGATATTCCGAACCATGTGCAGCATAATAAAACCCTAGACCCTGGGCTAGCTCTAGGCCCCCAGAATTGCATATATACCAGTAAAAACCTCGAGACAGGACAAGCTTGCTCCACCCCCACTTCTGTAGAGATTGCTAGTCCTACAACTTGAAGGGAGTTTAGTTTCAGCATAGAAAGAATACACTTGATTAGACAGAAAGAATTGTATAACTCAGAAAGATTGTACTATTTGACTTGAAGAAAGAGAGTAAAGTTATTCAGTACAAGCAAGTAAAGTTATTCAGTTCAGAAGTTACAAAGTTACCTTTGAATATCAAGCCCAAGTTTTATAGAACTTGTGAAAGAAAATCTATTACACTTGTTATAACCAACTTAAAAGCATTTTGTACATTGAATATAATAAATCTTTCTGTGCACCCCTCCGAACTTGTGTTTGACTTAGTTTTGTGTGTGTTGGTGTTGGTGTTTGTGTGAGATTTGTTCTTGCATTTGCATTTTGCACTTAGCCTAAAGTCAGCATATCATCTGGAGCCCACCGCGAGGGGGTCAAAAGATTAAAATTCATTGGAAAATTTGCAAGGCTTTTAGCCAAAACTTACCACCATTGCACCTAAAAAGAGTCAAGTACAACTTACTCAATTAGATCTGGAAGCTGCAAAAACAGCTTTGAGACAAAAACAAGAAGAACAGAAACAACAGAGAGCTCAAAGAAGTGCTAGAAGAGAATCTTATAAAGAGTTATCTTCAAATATTTCTAAGCTAACTGAAGGATCTTCTTCTTCACAAAGAATCCCAAGTCCAGAGAAAAAGTCTTCTACACCAATCCGAGACAAAGCTGTGTCGGAATTGCAGAGTGTTACCAAAGACAGAATACAATCCAACTTGGAACTTCAACAACAGAGAGCAGCATCATTGCTTATCTCACCTCTTGCACAACATATCCCATTACCCAATTCCCCTGAGTTAACAGTCAGACAGATTGAAAAACTTCCTGCATCTAATTCCATTCCTGGAAGTTTTGATCATCAAGCTTCAGAGGAAGAAGATCACAGTATAAACTCAGAACAAGAACAATCTTTTGTAGAATTTGAGAACTTTGCTTCTACACAACTCTTCCCACCTGAATTTTCAGAGTCAGAAGAAGGACAAGAATTAGAGCTTCCTGAATCAAGTTCTGCAGTTGAACAAATAAAACAAGAAGAGACAGATTCTGAATCACTCTTTGATCTTGAATACAAGGAAGGAAGTAAAACACCTCCTCCATTTGCATTCAGTTTTGGCCAAGCAATATCACCAGGCTTTTTGAATTTTAATCCAAACTCCCAGCAAACATCATCCCCAAGAAATTCATTATATAAAACAACTATCACAATGTCTGGATCTTCTAGCACAATGCCTAGACCTGGTTCTAGAGATGCACCAAGGTTGACTGCAGAAGGAACAGATGATCCCATGAAAGTTAGAAGATATTTTGATGACTTGGAAAATTTATTCACTGATTGTAATATCAATAATGAATTAGACAAAAAGAAGTGGACAGTGAGGTATCCAGAAGAACAAGTAGCTTGGGAATGGAAAGCTATGTCTGAGTACAGCACTGCTACAAGCACATTTACAGAGTTCAAGAAAGTAGTTTTGAGTAGTTACCCAGGAGCTACTGATGAAGAACGGGGAACTATGAGAGAATTGAACCGTTTATTCAAAAAGTACAAAAATATTGGAAGTGATGACTTGGATGAATACATGGCCCTTGTAAGAAGATTTAGAGCAGTAAAGAAAGAGCTTAATCCTCCACAAGTGGCAGGAGCAGCAGTACAACCCGAGCCTTTAGTCACTAATAGAGAACTTGTGGAGAAATTCACCAGAGCTCTGGACATAGGTTTCCGAAATGCTATATTTGCTGCATTACATATTAAAGGGAAAACTAGAACAGTTCCGGCAGGTCAAAAAGTGAGACCTGATGACATGTATGATATTGATGAAGTCATTGCACAAGGGGAAGCTATAGCTAGAGGTACTATGCCAGGTACAGATCCTATGTCATCTGTTGCTACAAATGCAAGTTCTAGTTATGCTCCTCCTGTTCACATCAAGCAAGAACAATTTCAGCAGCAAATTAATGACTTGATTAGTGAGAAAATTGCAGTATTAATGGATACAATCAAAATCTCTCAAGATCAAGTTAGACAAGAAAACTCTAAGCAGATCAATGAGTTCATGAGAACTTATCAACAGAATAATGTTCCCAGAGGGAGTGTTCCTCAAGGATATGCTTCTCATCAGATGCCTGCTGGATTTGAAGCTAATCCAGTAAAATCACAGAATGTAGAAATGCGGGACAATAACAAGGCTCCTTATGACTGGCATGGCAATCTTAGCAAAGTAGTATGTTACTTCTGCAGTGAAGAAGGTCATGTGGCAAATGATTGTCATCATAGGCAAGATTTGCTGGAACTAGGAAGGATTGTACTTGTGAATGGTAGAGCTAGATTACCTGGCAACTATCCTATTCCAAGGCAACCAATAGGAGCAGTATCAGAAAAAGATAGAATAGATTATTATTATTTGGAAAAGGAAAAGCGGGACAAAGACAATGCAAAGCAAGTGAACTTAGTGCAGAGCACTCCGAATAATATCCCCGGAATGATCAACACTGCTACTATGTCTACATACTTAAGCAATCAGCTAAGTGATAAAGACTTGAGAATTGCCAACTTAGAAAAAGAACTTCAATCTCTGAATAATCCTGCATCTCAAATGATGTATCAAATGCCTGGCCAAATGAATCAGTTTATGCAACAACCATTCTATATGCCTCAGCATAATCCTATGATGCAGAGTCAATTCTCACAAGTTGGATGGAATCCAAGTAGTCAGATGAATAGTTATATACCAAGTACAAGTCCTACAATGCATATGTTGAACTCAATGTATCAAAACCAGAATAGTATGACTCCAAACTACCCTAACATGGGTATGCATACACAACCTCAGCAGTCAATGCCTACTATGGCTGAGATTGAGGCATTTGTTCAAACAAGAAGGCAAAAGGAAGAGTCGGAAAAATGAGGAGTTCAATGATTGGGACACCTACTCATAATACAAGTAGGAAAGCTGTAGCAAAGTCCCTTGAGAACCGGCCTGATAAAGCAGCCAAATCCTATGAAAATCAGAACTGGAGAAGTAGAGAAAAGGAAACATTGAAAGATATTGGGTTTGATGAAGGAGATATTCCAGAAATTCCATTTATCAATGTGAAGGATGTATCAGAACTGCCTATGAAAGGCATACAAGCTGTAGACAGAGGAGTGCATGATAGATCAATACAACAGATTGACAAGTCTGAGATTGGACCAGCATATAAGTTCATTGCCCCTGTACAAAGATTGGGAAAAGTAAATGACTTGGTTGATAAAATCTTGGACAATGATATTTGTGTCAAGGCTAGTGATCTGTTGTCTACTTCGAAGCCTATCAGAGAAGAATTGAAATACAGAGTCACTCAACAACGGGTCAACTCTGGGGAACAACCAAAGTCTACACAAGTGAAAGCCCAATTTGAGGAATTGCAACTTGACAGTGACACTATTGATATTGATTCATTACCTAGTGTGACTTGGGAAAAGAAAACAGAAAGAACCAACAGTGGTGAGCAAATCTCAGCTTTTGTAGTTGGAGATGTGGTACTTCAATATTTAGAAACTTTGGCACCTAAAGAAACTGCAAAACAAATTGTAGTAGCCAAAGATTCTCAAAGTTTGAGATCAATATATCCACTATTGAATGGAAGAGAACATGTGGAAAGTCTTCTGGACTCAGGTTCACAGATTGTGTCCACTTCTCAAGAGAAAGCAGAGAAGGCAGGTTTGATCTGGGATCCGGACATAGTAATATATATGCAAAGTGCAAACAAAGGATTAGAAAAGTCATTAGGACTGGCTAGAAATGTGCCATTTTTGATTGGTGATATGACTGTCCTCTTGCAAGTTCATGTGATTAAAGAACCAGCTTATGATCTATTATTGGGAAGGCCATTTGATGCACTTTTACAAACTCACATTCAGAACTTTGCAGATGGAAGACAGATTATCACTCTGACTGAACCATTGACCAATAGAAGAATTACTGTACCAACTTTTGCTAGAGGTACTGCAGCAATATTAGCCAATTCATCTAAGATGGAGAAAGCTACAGAATCCACAACAGCCAATCCAGTTGCACAGGGTTTTCTAGTAACCTCGAGGATTTGATTAGAAAAGATCAAGGAGAGGTGGCTATAGTGTTTGAAGTTAAGAAAAATGGTGAAGTCGAAATTGATAGTTACTGTCTCCCACCAAAGAAAAAGTTCACTTATGATGGACTTCGAAATGCATACCTGGTTGCATCAGTAGATGCTACTGCTCATGATAAACATGCTCAACATTCACTTTCTTCATATCTGTCTTCTGTTTATTCTATGGATATTAAAACTCCAGGTACCAATATTTCAACTGCTAGTACTGCTGAAGTTGTATATACCGAAGATTGGAAATTCTCTAAGTTATTTGATATCAATAGAACAAAGAATCCCATTAGGGTCCCAAAAACAATTGAAAATCCTGAAACAACTCCAAAAACATCAGAAAATCGGATTGACTATATTTCAAAGATAAAGCATGAATTCTATTGTATCAATCATACTCCACTTTCATCTTTCATTTCTAAATTATCACAGTCTGAGATTGGTGATTTGAAGCCATGCAGAACTGATATCTATTTTGAGCCCATGGCAGTACTTGCATCTAGAAAATACAAACCAGTAGCAAAGAAAGTGAGACCAATTATTGGTGAACTTCCCCAGAAATTCAGAATAATCAGAGATATTAAGGGAGATCCATTGAAGGATATGCCTAAGCTATCTACACACCCACCAGAGTTCAAACCTACTGGGAGATATACTGAAGCAAGAAAAGCAATAATAGACAAGATACATGGAGATGATTTTCTGTGGCCTGAGGAAAGAAAACTCATGCACCATCTCATGATGGAACAGGAAATGGGTTTTGCCTGGAATGATGAGGAGAGAGGGAAATTCAGAGAAGACTTCTTTCCACCAGTAGACATGCCAGTAATTCCTCACACTCCATGGGTTGAGAAAAATATACCCATACCACCTGGAACTTATGATGAAATATGCAAAGCAGTCAAAGTGAAAATTGATGCTGGAGTATATGAACCTTCAAACTCATCATATAGGTCAAGATGGTTTGGTGTATTGAAGAAAGATGGGAAAAGTATAAGACTAGTTCATAGTCTGGAACCCTTGAACAAAGTTACTATTCAACATTCTGGTCTACCACCTGCCACAGATGAGTTAGCAGACCAATTTGCAGGGTACTCCTGTGGTGCAATTTTGGATATGTATGTTGGATATGATGAAAGAATGTTAGCAACACAATCAAGGGATTTTACAACATTCCAAACACCTTATGGTGCACTCAGATTGACCACATTACCAATGGGTTGGACAAACTCAGTACCAATATTCCATGATGATGTTACCTATATGTTGAGAGAAGAAATTCCACATGTAACCAGACCATATATTGATGATGTCCCTATCAAAGGACCACCAACTCGGTATGAAACTAAAGATGGTAGTTATGAAGTTATTCCAGAGAACTCAGGGATCCGCCGTTTTGTCTGGGAACACATGCAAAATGTAAACAGAGTCATACAGAGAGTAAAATACTGTGGTGGAACCTTTTCAGGACACAAAGCAGTTGTATGTGCTTCTGAGTTCAAAGTGGTTGGATACAGATGTACTTATGAGGGAAGAGTAGTTGACCCGGATTTAATGGGAGTCATTGACAGGTGGGGTCCTTGTAAAAATATAGGAGATGTCCGCAGTTTCTTGGGAACAGCAGGCCTCTGTAGAATGTTTGTCAAGAACTATGCCAAAATAGCAGAACCCATCAATAATCTCAGAAAAGACAATGTAGTCTTTTTCTGGGGACCCATAGAACAGAAAGCCATGGATGAATTGAAGAAAGCAATCAAAGAATCTCCAGCACTGAGAAAATTAGACTATAACAGTGACAGCAATGTAATTCTGTCTGTGGATAGCTCATTTAAAGGAGTTGGATTTTACATATGTCAAGAAGATGAAAAAGATAAAAGAAAAAGACATTATGCAAGATTCGGATCTATCACCTATAATGATAGGGAAGCAAGATTTTCTCAACCAAAGAGGGAACTGTATGGATTATACAGAGCTCTGCAAGCTTGTAAATACTGGTTATTTGGTGTAAGAAAACTTACCATTGAGGTTGATGCAAAGTATATTAAAGGAATGCTCCAACACCCAGATGAAGTCCCCAATGCTGCAATAAACAGATGGATTGAACAGATCCTAATGTTCCATTTTGAACTCAAACATATACCTGGAAAGAAACATGGTTCCGATGGATTGTCAAGGAGAGACCTGCAACCAGGAGACAAAATATATGTTAATCCGGAAGAAGAATATCAAGATGAACCACCAGCATTTACTGTCACATTTGAGAATGGAATTGACACCACAATACCATTTGAAGCATTCAAAGATAGAATTGACACAAGGACTGGCTATACACAGGAAATTGCAGAGTCAGTACAAGACTTTGTACAACTAGTGGAAGAAGCTAGCAGGAATGAAGCAAAGCTCAGAGCCAAGTTTGTGCAACAGTATCCAGCTAATGGAGCCTTTCTGACAACTTTGCCCCAGATTATCAAACCTCAAAATTTCATAAGTGAGGAGAGATATG